ATGGTTTCTATTTTTCCCTTGTAATTAGTAAGCAAATGTGGGGAGAAACTTTGAGACGCAAATATTCTGCTCTTCATCAAATATCCCCCCCTAGATTTAGCATCCATTGATGATTCTTGTTCTAATCAATATCTGTTATCATGGTTCCAAATTGATGAGTTTCCAACTCTAGTACTGCCTCCACATTTACCCTCAGCATTCTACTGTAAACAAGAGTCCTCCCTTCTGCCTATATCTATCTATCCATCTATCTATCTATCTATCTATCTATCTAATCTATCATCTGTATATTTATCTATCTAATTTATCATTGGTATAGACTCATAGATTATTTTTCCACGAAGATCTATAATTTATTATTATTCTTAATTGTTTTGGCGCTCAAATTGTTCCAGATTTGGCCAGCGGGGGTCCCTCAAGCTGACTTCTGTATCTTTGTGAACTGCTTCATCATATTGAGTACCTCTTTAATTTCTGCCACAAAAATGATAATCATGGCCCACCCTGTGCCTACCCTGCCCCAGCTCTGGAACCAGCCATTTCTCCAAGGTCTCTGGCTTTCCTTCAGTAGGGAATGGTATTAGAGACCAAGACTGGGCACTAGGTATGATTATTGCTACCTGGCTGTCTTTGCTTATAGGCCTTTTCTTTGGACAGAGCTAGGAAATATATGCAAGCATATACTCATCTATACATCTGTACATATGCATACACACATACATGCACATTTACACTTGCGTACACACACATATACACACACATATTTTAGAAATCTTCTGTCCATATCAATCCCTCCAATTTAATCCATCCCATAGGGTTTGTCTTGCCTTCCCCCTTTCCTTATTTGTATGTTCCTTCTTCACCATTGAGAACTCTGGCTCTCAACAATATCAAGACATTTACTCATTTGTTCAACTCTATAATACATATAAAATAGACTCAGAATTGCTTTGCTCATATCTTTACTAAAACAAGCCTACTAAAAAGAGTTAGGCTTTGTTTGCTGTTCTCCTTCCACCCTAACCAAGACTGAGAAATATTTATAATCCCATGCTATGTTTGTAAATTACTTGGATTAGTTGGCTCTCTTTTGTTCCTTCTTCAGTGTGGTTATTTTATTCATTTAAACACTGTTATGATTATTTATTTGGTTTTCTTTCAGTTTTGGTACCCGCTTCCCATCCTTGTTGATTTAATTTTATTGTTTGATCGTGTAGACCAAAAGTCAACACTATACAAAAAGGTATACTCAGAAAAGTGTCACTGCATCCTGTATTCCTTCTACCTTCTTCCCCCAACTCCCACTCCTTGAAGAGCGCTAGATTTATTGTTTTCTGTTTAACCTTTCTGAGTTTCTTTTTGGACAGATAAGTAGGTATATGCATGTTTTCTTATTTTTCCCTCTCACACAAAAGGTAGCATACTACATATGCTCAGTTCATAGACATCTTCCTCCTCTTTTTTAACAGCTACAAAATGCTCCATCATGAGTACTTATCATAGTTTAACTGATCACCTATCCTTGGATATTTAGATAGTTTCCAATATTTTGCAACTAAAATAATACTGCAGTGAATAACCTTGTGAAAATGTATTTTTTTGATATTATTGGAGTTGTATCTTCAGGGTTAATGCCCAGAAGTGAGATTGACAGGTTGAAGTGTAAATGTGAATGAAGTTTGTTGGATATTTCCAAAATTCCTCTCCATAGGGGTTATATCATTTTGCATTCTCGGTAAGATTGCAATGTATGAGAGTACTTGTTTTCCCCCACATCCTTGCCAACAGAGTGTAATCGTAAGCTTTTGAAGTTTTGCCAACCTGATGGGTGAGAAATGGTGTCTCAGTGTTGCTTTAATTTACAGTTCTCTTATTATGAGTGAAACTGAACATTTTTTCATATATTTAACGTCTATATTTATGTGAATTTTCTGTGGATGAATTTTGCCTATTTATTAGTAAGATTTAAAAATTTTTTAAAGTTGTTTATTTGGCAGAAATAGCTTTTAATACAATTTGTGCCAACTAAAGGCACAATTCCAAAGTACTGCTGTAGATAACCTATAGATTCTGCCCTCCAGGAATTCACAGTATCTAAACTGAACACTATCACAGTGGCTATGAGCATATGGACCCAGACTGTCTGCCTTCAAATGCCAGTACTGCCACTGAGGCAAGTTTTTAACCTCTTGGTGCCTTAGTTTCTCCATCTGTAAGATGAGAATAGCAAGAGCATTTACCTCTTAGGATTGTTGTAAGGATTAAATGACTTAATATATGTAAAGCACTTTGAATAGTGCCTGAAACATGAAACAATCCATAAATGGCTATTTTACAGTCAAGAAAATGCTCTCAGTACATTATTTGATTTGATCCTACAAGAATCCTGTTGTATAGTTAGTTATAAAAAATGAGGACCTGGAAGTCTGGAAACATTAGGTTAATCAGTGGTAGCATAAGAACTGCAACCCATTCATTCATGTGTGTGTGAGGAAGATCAGCCCTGAGCTAACATCCATGCCAATCCTCCTCTTTATTTTTTGCTCAGGAAGACCGGCCCTGAGCTAACGTCTATTGCCAATCCTCCTCCCTTTTTTCCCTTTTTCTCCCCAAAGCCCCAGTGGATAGTTGTATGTCATAGTTGCATATCCTTCTAGCTGCTGTATGTGGGATGCGGCCTCAGCATGGCCACACAAGTGGTGCGTTGGTGCGCACCCGGGATCTGAACCCGGGCCGCCAGTAGTGGAGCGCGCGCACTTAACCGATAAGCCACGGGCTGGCCCCTCATTCATGTATTTATTCACTCATTTATTCTACAGATGTTTTTTGAGGCCCTGTTCTGCACTAGCACTGGTGCAGGTGCTTGAGATATACCCTGAAGAAGACAGATCTTTGTTTCCTGTTGTGGAGGAGTCTGTGTGGGGTGTGGAAAGAGACAAAAACCAAGGAAACCAATTTTGTCTGCCTTGTCCATTACTTGTCTGTTCAGCACACACGACAGTGTCAAAATTCATTTGTTTAATGAAAGAATGAAGGAATAAATGATACAGTAGTGAAAAATGAGGCTCGATACATAGGTAAGGCCCAAATTGTGAAAGGCCTTGCCAATCATTCTGAAGAGTTGGGACTTTATCCTGAGCAGAGAAATTACATGAACAGATTTGCATCTAAGAAAACTCAAGCCAGAGGCTGTGTGGAGGACCCATAAGAGAAGGGCGAAGAGCAGGGAGGTTGTTACAGTAAGTCTAGTGGGAGTTGATGGGGCCTGAATCAAAAGAGAGGCTGAGGGGACGGACAGGAGGTGAGCTGGAGAGAGATTTATAAGTCAGAATTAAGTCCACACTGGACTTGGCTGTGTGTAGAGGGAAGGGGAGGGACAAGTCTGCAGTAACACTGAGGTTTCACTGTGTTAAGAAATTGAAGACGGATAGCTGACTGGGGAAAATACAGGAAAGGCCTTTTACACATATGGATTTGAGGTGACCGTGGGACCATGCTCAATCTCTTGACTGTACTTGCGTTGCTTCTCTACACTCCTTGGAGTCAGGAGCTGTGGACTTGTCCAGGGCACTATAGTAGTAGCCTATGAGATAAACAGTGTCTAATAGTGGAAAGGATACCAGTTAGGAAGGCAATTGGCCAGCAGTGCTGCCTTAACTTTCTGGGGGTCCCTGCTCGGTACACTCAGTGCTAAATTAACTACTAATTCTAACTGGAAGTTTACTCTTTGACAGCCAAAATACTTATCTTTGCATCTTTTCTCATACCCAAGATACCTTGCATAAAGCAGACTGTGGGCAATATTAAACAGATGAGGCATAGGGAGATTAGGAAAGGAAATTCATCATCAAGCAAGGCTTATGGCTTCTGGTTTAGGCTGCCCAGGGGCACTGAACCAGGATGCAGGGAGTTAGGAAGTCCAGGAGTAGCTCCAAATCCCTTTCGATAAAGACAGAAAACAGATGAATAAACAAACAGCCCAACACAACCCCCTCTAGAATGGCACCCTGAAAGCTTCGATGACACCAGTGCTTTTCTAGAGATCATGCAGGATGAAAGGCTTGAATTTTAGACTCGTGACAAGACCTGGAAAAGACAGCGATTTGGACACCTGGAAACCTGTCTTTACTAGAGAAAAGGAATTTCTAATACAGGCTGGTGATATGGTAAAGCTCGAAAAGAACAGGGATCATATTTCACTGAAGACTCCACGGGCTGATATTTACTTTAAAAAGTGACCTGAACTTTCTACGAGATGTCACCGAATCCCCCCAAGAAGGTTCATGACTATTAGGAAAGTTCATTTTCCGATTAGAGTGCTTTTTGGCTCGCCCCTGCAAGGTGCTAAGAGCAGGAGGTCAAGGGTGTGCATAGTTAAGAAGATAGGCGGAGGGTCTCATAAGTAGATGGGAGCTATTGCAAACAAACCATAGGATAGTCTCCGGAGGGGAAGCAACGTTAGGGACTTGCGCGAGGAAAGACGGAGAGGGAAAGCAGGGCGCAAGCAATAGCTTGGGAGGTGGGTAGGGAGGGAGGAGGAGAATAACTGTGGAGGAGGAGGTGGGGTTAAAGAGGCGAGAAGGAAGGAGTGCGAAAGCAACCTCACGTGCAGGGCACAAGTCAACGATTACGGAGAAGAGCTGTCAAGAGAACTGGATTATAGAATTGGGAAGGAAGGACTTGGTTCTCTGGAGCTCCCTTATGCGTTTACGCAGATCAGCCCAGCGCTAAGGGGGTGTGGTACTTAGCTCAGGGCGGCGGGGGTGTCAGACGGTAGCGGTGGGGGCGCCGCCCAATTCCTCCCAGAAGTGGAAGGCCAGAACAACCCAGCGGCAGGCAGGCAGGCAGGCAGGCAGGCAGGCAGGCAGGGCGGAGGCGGAGCGAGGGCGCCAATGGGCGGGACGGAGGAAGGCGCCGGGAGGACGAGGAGGCGCCGGCCGGGAGGCGGCGCTAGGACCCACCGGCGCCCCGCCGGCTCCCGGGAGGTTGATAAAGCGGCGGCGGCGTTTGACGTCAGTGGGGAGTTAATTTTAAATCGGTACAAGATGGCGGAGGGGGACGAGGCAGCGCCGAGGCAGCAGCCGCGCCAGGGGTTGCGGCGCCGGCGGCGGACCAGCGACCCAAGCACCGGGGTTAACCACGTCTCGTCCACGACCTTCCTAGGTACGGGCCGGCGGGGCGGAGGCCGCAGGGCCCGGGAGGGGACAGGGCGCGGGCCGCTCGGGCTGGCGGGCACCGGCCGCAGGCG